AGTGTTAATTAATGATCTGAAGACTTCATTCTCTCATTATAGATGAGTCGACTGATATTGCCTGTGAAAAATATGTCTGTGTTCGATATTATAATGCTAGACAATAGGATTTTATCCCTGTGGGACTAGTTAGTCACAAGTACAATCTCTGAATCCTTGTATCAACATTTCAAAAATTATTTTGGCAAAATTGGAGTTGATTTGAAGCAACGTTTTGCAATTGACAAGAACAGGGCATTAAATGTGTGGAGCTCACCATTCACTTTACACCTTGATGAAGGAGGATAGCCCTAATTTGTTTCTTATCATGTGCACGTCATTCTTTGCACTTTGCCTGTTCTCGTGCACGTGACCAATTACCTTCCACATCGACTTCATGATAAGAGACAGCTACAGCTGGTTCTACAGATCTTCATTAACCCTTCAATTGTGTATCGCATCATGTGATGCTTTGGAGTACTACGCATGATTTAAACGGCCCGCGGATACACGGGGTTCACCACACCTTCATCAGGGCTCTTGTAAACAGACGCCATTTTAAAAAAAATCATGGGCCAAACTCCCGGGTGTTAGGGGCCTCAGTATTGAGACAGCTACCAAGCCTGACGCACGCAGCATGAACTCACAGCACTGCTGTTCAGCTTGTGACCACAGCATCGCCTAAAAATGCCATAATATACTTGTTCATGCTATTATGTAGCGATGATATTATTACAGAAGACCCCTGACTGATAAAACTGACCAGGGTTCTGATAATAGCAGGATTGTGGTGATATTTGGCGCTGTGCGCCATGGAGGGAGGAGTAATGCTGTGGGAGGGAGGATGGTGGCGATGTCTTTTGAGTGTGCGTGGCCATCTTTTATTGACTGCACTCAGCATACCAGCTTAGTGGTTCGCTATGGTGAACACAAATGTAGATACTTATATATAACGTGTGTATAGTGTGAGATAACAGCGAGAGGAGGAGGTTGAGAGCCGCCATTTTGGTGAGGGAGGAGCGTCGTCTGCAGGACTTATCCTGTTGTTTACTGATGACCACAATGGTCTTTGGGCACCATACCAGTTTACTTGTACAAGTATGGTGAATAAAACAGGTAGATATTTATATATAATGTATGTATATAGCGTAATAACACCACAAGCAATATTGTTGGAGGACAAATATTAGTGCGTCTGGCCTTAACCCAGGGAGCCGGTCGGCCGAGGGGACAGCACGCTGGACTTGTGATCCTGTGGTCCTGGGTTCGATCCCAGGCGCCGGCGAGAAACATTGGGCAGAGTTTCTTTCACCCTATGCCCCTGTTACCTAGCAGTAAAATAGGTACCTGGGAGTTAGTCAGCTGTCACGGGCTGCTTCCTGGGGGTGGAGGCCTGGTCGAGGACCGGGCCACAGGGACACTAAAAAGCCCCGAAATCATCTCAAGATAACCTCAAGTATATAAAAGCAAAAACAGTATGGTGGGTGGAGAATGGTGGCAAATCAGGTGAGGTGAGGTGAGGAAGGGAGTGGCAGCCAGTGGCAGCCAGTCACTGCCTGCCACTGCCACTCAGCATACCAACTTAGTGGTTCATCATGGTGAACAAAACATGTAAATACTTATATATAACATCTGTATATAAAAGCAAAAACAGTATGGTGGGTGGAGAATGGTGGCAAATCAGGTGAGGTGAGGTGAGGGAGGATGTGGCAGCCAGTGGCAGCCAGTCACTGCCTGCCACTGCCACTCAGCATACCAACTTAGTGGTTCGTCATGGTGAACAAAACATGCAGATACTTATATATAACCTGTGTATATAGTGTAATAACCGACAAAGTATTTGTTCACTGTTTGATGAACATAATTGAATCAACAATATGCACACCATATTTTTGAGTACAGCGATGATTCACTCATTTTATTATATAAATATATCACACTACACACTATTGAATAATATTACAGCAAAAAAACTACGAAAAATCAATCGGAGACATTGAAATAATTAAGTAATTATCTCTTTGTGGAAACTCTGGCCTGACAGCTGGCGATCAACAGACCGCCTGGGACGCACGCTCAGTCAGCGCCTGATTTTTGCCAGACTTCCCCGCCCTATAGCGGGCAATACATGCCACTTACGATTTTTTTATTATTTTTCCCGTCATCAGTGAACACAAATTAACAGGTTAGGAAGAAAAAATAATTTTTTTTTTTTGGTATGCGCCTGTGGGTGTCAAATGCTATATAGCTATGCGCTATTTAAGGGTTAAGGAGAGAGTTGTCTAAAAATTTACAGATTGATAAATGATGGGAAAGATCCCTTACAGTTAATACTTTTGCAGGAAGACGATGGTTGGCAAGGAGCGGTAGTGTAAAGCAGCTGTTAGATCACTGGTATTCTTTAACAACTCGTTACCAAATTGCTTCTTCCTCTTGTGATAAACATGTTCCAAGACAACTATTTTCAATGTACTCTGATTCTGCTATAAGCTATATTTCACATTCCTCAAACCAATCCTAAATGATTTTGAAAGAAAAAATTGACTTTATTAAAAAGATGAAGCAGATCAGTATAGCCTTCACACTCTTCGAAAACTTCACTCTTGGAATGCTAAGAAGGATCGTGTATCCTGATCATGCAGAGCTTCATATTAATTGGGACTACAATTCCATATATCTGCCCCTGGAGAAAGTGGACTTGGGTTACAAATTTTCAACACTTCAGGCCACTTAGACAAAATTTATAGCCCAGAAAAAGTTTTCAAAATATTCAAGAAAGATGCCATAATTTTTTAGTGAAAGCTTAGAAAGAGCTTTTTTCTCATATTTCTAGTAATGTTGAAACTTTAAAAAAGGTGAAAAATCTGTCAGCTATCATATGCCTTAGCCACACACGGCCACCATTTTCAGAACTTCCATTAGTACCAGCTGACCAATCTAAGCTTAGTGAAATTGAAAATCAGTGGCGCCTACTGTTAACCATTGACTGGTCCAACATTTGTGAGGGACAAATTGCACCATCTGAATTGTCATTTTGGACCAAGGCAATAACTCAAGAACACTGCTGGCAAAACCATTAAAATCATGTAGTGTACTCTATGTATTAAAATATATTACTTGGAAAACCATGTCACAAAAAAAAAAAAAAAATTGGGCTACTCTTATTACAAATTCGTTACTTTCAGCCATTCGGAAATGGCAACCCTGGGTGGGGGATGGGGGGTGGGTGTGTCACGGGTAGACGGGGGGGATGGATGGGTTGGGAAGGATGGGACCAACATGCACCAGACCCACACCTGCCACCCACAGGGACCTACAACAACATACACCAGACCCACACCTGCCACCCACAGGGACCTACAACAACATGCACCAGACCCACACCTGCCACCCACCACAGGGACCTACAACAACATGCACCAGACCCACACCTGCCACCCACCACAGGGACCTACAACAACATACACCAGACCCACACCTGCCACCCACCACAGGGACCTACAACAACATGCACCAGACCCACACCTGCCACCCACCACAGGGACCTACAACAACATGCACCAGACCCACACCTGCCACCCACCACAGGGACCTACAACAACATACACCAGACCCACACCTGCCACCCACCACAGGGACCTACAACAACATGCACCAGACCCACACCTGCCACCCACAACAGGGACCTACAACAACATGCACCAGACCCACACCTGCCACCCACCACAGGGACCTACAACAACATGCACCAGACCCACACCTGCCACCCACAGGGACCTACAACAACATACACCAGACCCACACCTGCCACCCACCACAGGGACCTACAACAACATACACCAGACCCACACCTGCCACCCACCACAGGGACCTACAACAACATACACCAGACCCACACCTGCCACCCACCACAGGGACCTACAACAACATACACCAGACCCACACCTGCCACCCACCACAGGGACCTACAACAACATACACCAGACCCACACCTGCCACCCACCACAGGGACCTACAACAACATACACCAGACCCACACCTGCCACCCACAGGGACCTACAACAACATGCACCAGACCCACACCTGCCACCCACCACAGGGACCTACAACAACATACACCAGACCCACACCTGCCACCCACCACAGGGACCTACAACAACATACACCAGACCCACACCTGCCACCCACCACAGGGACCTACAACAACATGCACCAGACCCACACCTGCCACCCACCACAGGGACCTACAACAACATGCACCAGACCCACATCTGCCACCCACCACAGGGACCTACATCAACATACACCAGACCCACACCTGCCACCCACCACAGGGACCTACAACAACATACACCAGACCCACACCTGCCACCCACCACAGGGACCTACAACAACATACACCAGACCCACACCTGCCACCCACCACAGGGACCTACAACAACATGCACCAGACCCACACCTGCCACCCACCACAGGGACCTACAACAACATGCACCAGACCCACACCTGCCACCCACCACAGGGACCTACAACAACATGCACCAGACCCACACCTGCCACCCACCACAGGGACCTACAACAACATACACCAGACCCACACCTGCCACCCACCACAGGGACCTACAACAACATACACCAGACCCACACCTGCCACCCACCACAGGGACCTACAACAACATGCACCAGACCCACACCTGCCACCCACCACAGGGACCTACAACAACATACACCAGACCCACACCTGCCACCCACCACAGGGACCTACAACAACATGCACCAGACCCACACCTGCCACCCACCACAGGGACCTACAACAACATGCACCAGACCCACACCTGCCACCCACCACAGGGACCTACAACAACATGCACCAGACCCACACCTGCCACCCACCACAGGGACCTACAACAACATACACCAGACCCACACCTGCCACCCACTACAGGGACCTACAACAACATGCACCAGACCCACACCTGCCACCCACTACAATATGCAACAACACCATATTGGCTACTCACCATGTTCCTTCACTTTGTACTTTGTTTCAAGATTGCCAGCAACCTTGCCAGACTCGAGCACGTTGGAGCCGCCCGCTGTAATCTCTACACCGGTGGCAGTTTTGCTCTTGCACTCAAGTTTCAGCACACCGAAGTGATAACCCTTGCCGAAAACATCTCTGGCAGATTTGCCGAGGTCAGCGTAAATTGGAGGAGACATCGTGTTCTGGAAAACATTAAAATATTAACTTAACTTTTTTTTATACCCTCATAAATGTTAAAAATGTTTGCTCGAGTATTTAATATCCTTGAATAACTTGGTTGAATGATACAACATTTAAAAAGGACGGCTAGGTAAACTGTCATTTCTAGACATCGGTACCATACAATCTCTAAAACTAATCATTCTGCCCCTAACCAGATTTAAATATCTACATTATTTTATTAACCACGTTTCAAGTTTCACAAGCGCCGTCCCCGGGAACAGGAAAATTCTCAGTGAAGAATTTAGTGCCGATACAAGTAGTGCTAAACCATTTAAATTAAGAACATTTTGTTTAATAATTTACTGAACTGTATATTAAAATCTAATGTATAACAGTGATGAAACTGGGCTGTATTGGAGCAGTCTGCCAGGGTGTAATGTTAACAAGGACTACAATATGCACCATACCCATTCCTTGAGAGATGTACAGAGTACACCTGGCCACAGCTAGGGCGTGCACCAATGCTGATGGGTCGCAGAGAACCACACGTGCACTCGTTGGCAAATCCAAGAAACCATTGCTTGAACAATCTGCTTGTGAAAATTATAACTCAAAGAATGCATGCTTGCACACAGGAAATCTCTTTCTTTCTTGGTTTCATGTTTGTTTTGCAAGAAAGTTCGTGGCCCAATTAAGAAACACAAAGCGAGGCTAAGCAAAGTTTGGGCTTTGGTGTTGCTTGATAATGCACCAGCCCACCCAGGTATTAACCTCACATGATGGCAAGATGATGCCACTTCCTCCTAATACCACCTCTCTCATCCAGCCTATTGATCAGGGAGCCAGCTACACCAAAAAAGGGTCTCGACAGTTTTAGTAGTTTTGCCTCAAGGAAAATGAACTTGGCATGGATACCAAGGCTAGAAAAATGCCTCGAGAATTTTAAAACACCATTCCATCAATTGAAGCAATTTATAATTGGGTCAACGTGTGGAGTAAAGTCAAGGAATCCAATTTGAAGATTTCCTGGAAGAAAATCCTCATACTTATGAGGCCAACAATGAAGAGGAAGAAATGAATTTTGAAGGATTTACAGTCAAAATCCATAGAATATTCAGAAATGCTGCTAAAAATTTAGAAAGACAAGATGTGGTTGAAAGGCAAGAAAGATGCTGATGACCCAGGATATGTTGTGATGAGTGAAGAAGAGATATTCTCCCGTAATTACTTAAGTGTAGTTACCGGATGAGAGCTACGCTCGTGGTGTCCCGTCTTCCCAGCACTCTTTGGGGAGACGGGACACCACGAGCGTAGCTCTCATCCTGTAACTACACTTGGGTAATTATGGGAAAATCTCTCTTCTTCACTCATCACAACATATCCTGGGTCATCAGGATACGTCTGTCACTGGTGAGGTTGACGAAGAAGAGGACGATGATGATGGCAATGAGTAACAAACACCACAAACAACAAAACAGTTTACTCAAGTCATCTGCTTATATGTTAAGTTCTTGTCCAACTGCTAATCCAGAAGTTGGAAACATGTATCAGTACTTGAGGCGAACCAAAGAGCTCATCATCCGAGGGGCCAATGAGACAAGCTAAACTATTCTCATTTAGTAAGAACAACCACCAAAGGCTGTTGAACCACTGAAGCCTCAAGGAATCCAAAGATCTTCAAGTTATGCTTCACTAGGAATACAAGAGCCTTCAACCAATAAAGCCTCACCAGAAAGCCAAGAGCCTTCAACCAGTGAAGCCTCACCAGAAAGCCAAGAGCCTTCAACCAGTGAAGCCTCACCAGAAAGCCAAGAGCCTTCAACCAATAAAGCCTCACCAGAAAGCCAAGAGCCTTCAACCAGTGAAGCCTCACCAGAAAGCCAAGAGCCTTCAACCAGTGAAGCCTCACCAGAAAGCCAAGAGCCTTCAACCAGTGAAGCCTCACCAGAAAGCCAAGAGCCTTCAACCAGTGGAGCCTCACAAGAAAGCCAAGAGCCTTCAACCAGTGAAGCCTCACCAGAAAGCCAAGAGCCTTCAACCAGTGAAGCCTCACCAGAAAGCCAAGAACCTTCAACCAGTGAAGCCTCACCAGAAAGCCAAGAGCCTTCAACCAGTGAAGCCTCACCAGAAAGCCAAGAGCCTTCAACCAGTGAAGCCTCACAAAGCCAAGAACCTTCAACCAGTGAAGCCTCACAAAGCCAAGAACCTTCAACCAGTGAAGCCTCACAAGAAAGCCAAGAACCTTCAACCAGTGAAGCCTCACAAGAAAGCCAAGAACCTTCAACCAGTGAAGCCTCACAAGAAAGCCAAGAGCCTTCAACCAGTGAAGCCTCACAAAGCCAAGAACCTTCAACCAGTGAAGCCTCACAAGAAAGCCAAGAACCTTCAACCAGTGAAGCCTCACAAAGCCAAGAACCTTCAACCAGTGAAGCCTCACCAGAAAGCCAAGAACCTTCAACCAGTGAAGCCTCACAAAGCCAAGAACCTTCAGCCAGTGAAGCCTCAGCAGCTGGCAGTCAACGCTGACCTTGCTGAGGTCATGTACAGTACAGAACAGTAATTATAGTGTTGACTTAGGTTATGTGAATTGTTAAGAAGTCTTGATTTCAAGTTCCTCTACAATACTGTATGCAGCATTAATCAAGAGGACAAACTACAAAAAGATAAGCTAAAGTGTTTTAGTTTACACTACTGAGTAGTTTTTTTTAATTAGTGCATGTGGAAAGTCTAATTGATAGTTGGTACACAAAAATAGCAAATGTTCATTTTTTGGACTTTCCCCAGGAAGAATTCTGCGTATCCGGATGATTGGCTTATCCAGTTGGGGTGTGGGTGTGGGTGTGGGTGGGGGGGGGGGGGAACAAACCTGCCCATATAGCCCCAGATCACCAGGCTTAGGCAGTGTCACAACTGTTTATATTGTATCCTGTGATCAAGGTACGCATTTTAAAAATATTTTTTTTTATGCACACCAGGGTGTTGCACCACAAACAGGTGGGCAGCCAAAGTGCTAAAGCACAAAACTTTTCAACACTCCCTATGCATCGTGGCCATTTTCTGGGTTCAACGGAGAACCTTACGAACACCTTCCAAAGATTCCTAATCAACCATACTGTGACAAACATCAGGTTGTGAGCAGCCGCGTCAAATAGCCTGGTTGACCAGACCCGCCAACCAGGAGGCCTAGTCGGAGACCGGGCCACAGTGACATTGATCCTTGAAATTATCGAAAGGAAACAATAGGAAACAGCCACTAACCCACATCACAGTTAGGGGCAAGAACAATGCTCCATTAACCACATAAAAGGAATCGCCAAAACATTACAGATATGGAGGGGGACCTTTCAAGTCTAGAATGAGGTAAACAAATGAACCCATTTCTTCAAGAATAACATTGCTATCCACAAACAAATCCTGGATCACTGAAACAGCTTGAACCAAATTAACATATACGGTATTCCATTTAACACTATCGTTAACTTTGAGCCGGACTTGCGTCCATTATTTGTCTCCAGTCCTAACTTTGGGCCGGACTCTCGTCCACTACAAAAAATATTTGTATAAAATTCATTTTTTATCCAATCGACCTCGGGATAGTATCAAAATAAGCACCTTTAGAATGCGCACAATTTGATACCAAAATGAAAGATGTAACATGAAACGATGTCCAAACACTTGTATGATTATAAATAGGCTTTTGGTCAAAATTTTAAAATATGTTAAAATTCTATTATGCTATTATGTTGGGACTTGTTTTAAAATGCGCGCCTTTACGTCGCGAACAAGTTGATACCAAAATGAAAGATGTAACAAAAATTTATGTCAGAACAGTGGAAAGATATAAATAATTGTGATGCAACCTGTCCTCTTAAAAATAACGTCAATTTTAGCAGTTTGCCCGTATGGCCGAATTTGGATGTAATTTGAAAATGAAAATAAATTTGGGATTTTTTTTTCAACAACAGTAAATTAAGGGTTCTCTGGTAGGTTAGGTGCGCAGGAAATTCTCAAGTCTCAAAACGTTATGAAAAACGTGAATTGAAAGTCATCTATTGTAACCTTACAGAGTAGGCCGGACGACTCGAACAGAAAACGGAACAGTACGTCACTTTTGCGAGTATTTCATTTCAAATTACATCCAAATTTGGCCATAGCGCGCATACGAGCCAAAAGTGACGGGTTGGATGATGAGCTTCCAGAATTAAAATATTTGTTAAAATTCCAGTTATTGCTCTATTATTATGGGACTAGTTTTAAAATACGCGCCTTTTTATTGTGAACAATTTGATACCAGAATGAGACGTAACACAAAAATTGATGTTATCAAACTGAACGATTATACACATTAGGTTGCAGTGTACAAATTGGTGCTCGTTCACGGGTCACTTTAGGCTTTTCTGCGGGGAGGCACTCCAGGCTTTTGCACATTATATTCATACACATCTGTAGGGAATTTAATTGCGAACACTGATACCAAAACGAGAAACGTAGCACGAGAATTAAGGCGAGAAAAATGGAACGAGTATGCACATTTTACTGATTTTGTGCGTTCACGGGTAAATTTTGCCAGCTTTAGGCTTTGCTGTTGGGAGTCACGCCAGGCTTTTGGACATTATATTTATACACACCTGTAGGGAATTCAATTGCGAACACAATGATACCAAAACGAGCGACGCAGCACGAGAATTAAGGTGAGAAAGCTGAAACGAGTACACACATTTAGATGTGACCGCGCGCTTGCCCGCTCACCGGGCGCATGACTCCTAAGTTGACCACGTGCCTGCCCGGTGACAGATAGCTTTAAGATGTAATGCCCTGGTACCTGCGTAAGCGCTTTAACAAGTCACATCGGGCCAGTACGGCTGGAAGATTGAACTGCTAAAATTTAATTGAAAGGTTTATGTTACGACCCTGGTTACGACTATCTCTCAGATTTAAATTAAATTTGGTAGGATGCCAGGGCTACTGTGGAAGGAGCCACATCGAAAGTGATCGGCGACAGGAGCATTTCCAATCCTCCAGGTTATACCCGGCAGTGACTGGCTGCACCGTCCCTACCACAGCATGCCTCTGTCAGACAACGACGACGACGACTCAACTTAGCACAGACAACGATTCACTAGTACACTTCACCATTTATACTTTTTCGCTGTATTCTGGAACTTGGTGCGTTCCCCACTCATCATCAACTCTACTTCACGAGCCTCATGACTATCTACAAGACTCCCGCAAGACTCCAAACTCAAGTCTAGTCTCTTCCTTAACCCTACGCCCCTAGAGTGAAGCCCCCCCCCCCTACCCCAGCACACACTTAGTAGCCCTTCATACATGTCTACAATTGATGACTGAATATTCTGGCTTATATTCAAGCTAAACTTCACATATGTGGAATCTTTATTTTGTGCTTGCATGAACCAGGTCAAGGATGTACTTGTTGTGCTTGCGGGGGTTGAGCTCTGGCTCTTTGGTCCCGCCTCTCAACTGGCAATCAACTGGTGTATAGGTTCCTGAGCCTATTGGGCTCTATCATATCTACACTTGAAACTGTGTATGGAGTCCCACCACACTCCACCACATCACTGCCTAATGCATTCCATTTATTAACTACTCTGACACTGATAACTTCATTCTAGCGTTTCTGTGGCTCATGTGGGTACTCAGTCTCCACCTGTGTCCCCCTTGTTCGCGTCCCTCCAGGGTTAAACAGTTTATCCTTGTCTACCCTGTCAGTTCCCCTGAGAATTTTGTATATGGTGATCACGTCTCCCCTGAGCTCGTGTGTCTTCCAGATCAAGTGCCCGAGGAGTGTGCCGGGCACGACACCCTCCCGGAGCCCCGCCCAACAACAGGTCAGGGAACACCCTTGTACGCTGCTACAACACGCACCTCATACAACACAAGCCACACACTATACACACACTATACACACACCATACACACACTACACACACTTTACACACTATACACACACTATACACACACCATACACTACACACCACACCTCACACACTCCTCTACACTCAACTTACACTTGGGGCCAAAATATACAAATATTTTACCACAAATTTACACTTTCTATCCAATAGCTCGTCCTTTTTTTTTTTTTTTTTTTTTTGACCAAGTATTGGGGCAACAAAATGCTAACTAGAGAGGGGGAGATAACCCCCCCCCCCCAAGGTCACTGACCTATACCAAGGGTCAATATGACAGTTACGTCAATGTTAAGAGGTCAAAGAGGTTAATAAGGACTAAAACTGTACCCAAGCAACCAAGCACCTCGCCCTTATGACCTCAAGGGGGGGGCGGGGAGGGGACATGATAGTGACATTCACGGTCACACATACACCTGTATTAACTAGTCACACAGCTGCTCTCCGAGCCGTGAACACCAGAACACGTGAACAAAGCCGAGAGATGAGAGTGAACACCGGAGGCCGGAGCCGGCTGGAGTAGCGGCGTCGTCTGCACCAGCACCCAGCCTCCTGTAGGGCTCCAGCCGGCCCCAGGCCTGGCCAGAGGCAGCCCGGCGGGTGGTCGGGCACGCCCCGGGCACGAGGGCACGGGAGGCGAGGGGCAGGAGAGGCAGGAATAGTTACCGGGGCTGGTGGAGGTGTGGTGGTGGTGGCGCGACTGTGGTGTGATCAGCTGGGCTGGTCATGGCGCTCCTTCCCGCCATAAGTGGAGCAACTCTCCCTCCTTCACACTATATTAACCCCACCGCCTCTATCTCACCCTCACCACCACACTAACACGGCTCTAATAATTATATATATACATTTGTTTTAAGAGGAAAATGTATTGAACATAAGGTATATGGGAATACATTTGTCTCCACAGTTAGTTCTCATTGGTGTATTGAGTATGGATGCACATGGCCGGTTCCTTCACACTAACATGGACTAAATACTATACATACACACGATACGTATTGACATGCTCATTTCTTACACACGAGGTTAAATAAAAGCCAGATATGTATATAGATAATATATAGATAATATATAGATATAATATCTCCGCACTTGGCGCGTGTGGGGGCCCGCACACAGGGGCCCACACGCCCGCCTACACGGACTCCCGCCTGCCTCTCCCGCCTATTTCGAAATAGGCCGTTTATAGCCCTAAAGACGCCTGTTTTTAGGCCCCGCTAGGCAGCCTGATGACCTTCCCAAGCTGCCTAACTGCGCGGGTGCCTATCACTGTGAGGTGAACAGAGGCATCAGGTGTAAGGTCCCCTTATGGGTCCCAAACCGATATTTTTGAAGGCCTCAAAGAGATTTTTGAGAGACACTGAGAAAAATAATTTTTCCACAATTTTCCATGAGAATTTTAAGCGACAGATTATTATTTATTATTAATATATTTGTATTTTGTCATTTGTTTACGGAAAAAAGAGAACAAGATACTTGAAAACATTTTTAAGATGTCTATTTAGGCAACCAATATATAACTCTTCTGAATTATAAATGGAATTGATTAAAATGTTTTTAAATGGAGAATAAATGTATGTGTTATTAACAACTAATAATTCAAAACAAATAAGATTAGTGAATTAGTATGATTAAATTAGTCAGTTTAGTTCATTTAGTATGCACCCCATACCCATGCTGTGAGCGGTAGTGGACCCCATACCCATGCTGTGGGTGGTAGTGGACCCCATACCCATGCTGTGGGCGGTAGTGGACCCCATACCCATGCTGTGAGTGGTAGTGGACCCCATACCCATGCTGTGGACGGTAGTGGACCCCATACCCATGCTGTGAGTGGTAGTGGACCCCATACCCATGCTGTGAGTGGTAGTGGACCCCATACCCATGCTGTGGACGGTAGTGGACCCCATACCCATGCTGTGGGTGGTAGTGGACCCCATACCCATCCTGTGGGCGGTAGTGGACTCCATACCCATGCCGTGGGCGGTATTGGACCCCATACCCATGCTGTGAGCGGTAGTGGACCCCATACCCATCCTGTGGGTGGTAGTGGACCCCATACCCATGCTGTGGGTGGTAGTGGACCCCATACCCATCCTGTGGACGGTAGTGGACCCCATACCCATGCTGTGGGTGGTAGTGGACCCCATACCCATCCTGTGGGTGGTAGTGGACCCCATACCCATGCTGTGGGTGGTAGTGGACCCCATACCCATCCTGTGGACGGTAGTGGACCCATACCCATGCTGTGGGTGGTAGTGGACCCCATACCCATGCTGTGGACGGTAGTGGACCCCATACCCATGCTGTGGACGGTAGTGGACCCCATACCCATGCTGTGGGTGGTAGTGGACCCCATACCCATGCTGTGGGTGGTAGTGGACCCCATACCCATCCTGTGGGCGGTAGTGGACCCCATACCCATGCTGTGGGTGGTAGTGGACCCCATACCCATGCTGTGGGTGGTAGTGGACCCCATACCCATGCTGTGGGTGGTAGTGGACCCCATACCCATCCTATGGGTGGTAGTGGACCCCATACCCATGCTGTGGGTGGTAGTGGACCCCATACCCATCCTGTGGGTGGTAGTGGACCCCATACCCATGCTGTGGGTGGTAGTGGACCCCATACCCATCCTGTGGACGGTAGTGGACCCCATACCCATGCTGTGGATGGTAGTGGACCCCATACCCATGCTGTGGACGGTAGTGGACCCCATACCCATGGTGTGGGTGGTAGTGGACCCCATACCCATGCTGTGGGTGGTAGTTGACCCCATACCCATGCTGTGGGTGGTAGTGGACCCCATACCCATGCAGTGGGTGGTAGTGGACCCCATGCCCATCCTGTGGACGGTAGTGGACCCCATACCCATGCTGTGGACGGTGGTGGACCCCATACCCCTCCTGTGGACGGTAGTGGACCACATACCCATGCTGTGGACGGTGGTGGACCCCATACCCATCCTGTGGGCGGTAGTGGACCCCATACCCATGCTGTGGGTGGTAGTGGACCCCATACCCATGCTGTGGGTGGTAGTGGACCCCATACCCATCCTGTGGGTGGTAGTGGACCCCATATCCATGCTGTGGGTGGTAGTGGACCCCATACCCATGCTGTGAGTGGTAGTGGACCCCATACACATCCTGTGGACGGTAGTGGACCCCATACCCATCCTGTGGACGGTTGTGGACCCCATACCCATGCTGTGGGTGGTAGTGGACCCCATACCCATCCTGTGGGTGGTAGTGGACCCCATACCCATGCTGTGGACGGTGGTGGACCCCATACCCATCCTGTGAGTGGTAGTGGACCCCATACCCATGCTGTGAGTGGTAGTGGACCCCATACCCATGCTGTGAGTGGTAGTGGACCCCATACCCATGCTGTGAGTGGTAGTGGACCCCATACCCATGCTGTGGACGGTAGTGGACCCCATACCCATCCTGTGAGTGGTAGTGGACCCCATACCCATGCTGTGAGTGGTAGTGGACCCCATACCCATGCTGTGAGTGGTAGTGGACCCCATACCCATCCTGTGAGTGGTAGTGGACCCCATACCCATGCTGTGAGTGGTAGTGGACCCCATACCCATCCTGTGAGTGGTAGTGGACCCCATACCCATCCTGTGAGTGGTGATGGACCCCATACCCATCCTGTGAGTGGTAGTGGACCCCATACCCATCCTGTGAGTGGTAGTGGACCCCATACCCATCCTGTGAGTGGTAGTGGACCCCATACCCATGCTGTGAGTGGTAGTGGACCCCATACCCATCCTGTGGGTGGTAGTGGACCCCATACCCATGCTGTGAGTTGTGAGTGGTAGTGGACCCCATACCCATCCTGTGAGTGGTAGTGGACCCCATACCCATGCTGTGAGTGGTAGTGGACCCCATACCCATCCTGTGAGTGGTAGTGGACCCCATACCCATGCTGTGGACGGTAGTGGACCCCATACTCATGCTGTGAGTGGTAGTGGACCCCATACCCATCCTGTGAGTGGTAGTGGACCCCATACCCATCCTGTGAGTGGTAGTGGACCCCATACCCATGCTGTGAGTGGTAGTGGACCCCATACCCATCCTGTGAGTGGTAGTGGACCCCATACCCATCCTGTGAGTGGTAGTGGACCCCATACCCATGCTGTGAGTGGTAATGGACCCCATACCCATCCTGTGAGTGGTAGTGGACACCATACCCATGCTGTGGACGGTAGTGGACCCCATACCCATCCTGTGAGTGGTAGTGGACCCCATACCCATCCTGTGAGTGGTAGTGGACCCCATACCCATGCTGTGGACGGTAGTGGACTCCATACCCATGCTGTGAGTGGTAGTGGACCCCATACCCATCCTGTGAGTGGTAGTGGACCCCATACCCATCCTGTGAGTGGTAGTGGACCCCATACCCATGCTGTGAGTGGTAATGGACCCCATACCCATCCTGTGAGTGGTAGTGGACCCCATACCCATCCTGTGGATGGTAGTGGAAAGCTAAAGGCGCATTAGACAATAATAATGTAATGAGTATTAACGTATAGATTATAGAGTAAACATAAGTTAATGTATATTGAATCTGTGTATTGAAGAGGAGCGTCAGAGATACAACATCTTAGACCCAAGAGCCAGAGTGCATAGGGGGTGGGGTCAGCCCTTTCTCAGACCAAGTCCATTCCATCCAGCGGTAGACCCCAAAGACCCATTCATCAATTTTAACATGCTGTTCATTCAAAACAGGAATTTTCTCAAGTATAAATTAACATTTTTATATATTAGCATTCTGTGCATATTTAGGCATTGGGTAGGTTAGGTGTTTGAGAGTCCGTCTTGGATACAAATATCCATGGAGATTTGGAATGGAAACAACAGTTGATCAGCGAAGTTGCAGAATCTGTGGTGAGAGTGATGGACACCGCCTTGACCACTATCTACGTGAATGTGAACACTTGAGAGACATTAGGAATATGTGTAGAATAATAAACCCCACATTGTTTGAGTTAGGAAAACACTATTTGTCAAATATTGATACTGTTCTTAAAAGATTTCCCCATTTTGCACCCGCAAGATAACGTAAGCTTTTAAGGGTTGATAAATGTTAATCTTCTTGTTTGAGGAGCTGTTCACTTGAGACAGTTAAGCAAGTCCCAGCTGTGTCTGGGTACAAGTGATAGGATGAACAACCCAGCGGGTTTTCTTCCTATTGGGGAGTGTTGTACATGCTGCTATGGCGGTATGTCCACTCACAGGATGAGTGGCGCTGCCCAATACTGTCACTATGGCGGTGTGTCCACTCACAGGATGAGTGGCGCTGCCCAATACTGTCACTATGGCGGTGTGTCCACTCACAGGATGAGTGGCGCTGCCCAATACTGTCACTATGGCGGTGTGTCCACTCACAGGATGAGTGGCGCTGCCCAATACTGTCACTATGGCGGTGTGTCCACTCACAGGATGAGTGGCGCTGCCCAATACTGTCACTATGGCGGTGTGTCCACTCACAGGATGAGTGGCGCTGCCCAATACTGTCACTATGGCGGTGTGTCCACTCACAGGATGAGTGGCGCTGCCCAATAAACTCGCCCCTCGGGGCAAAATTTAAAAAATTTAAGGTTCTGTCGGCGAGTAA